ACAAAAAAAAAATGTTTCGTATTGATGGTCTACATGGAATACATGAAAGAAAATGATGGCTTTAATGGTTACGTTAAGCTAGACACTGATCAATGACATAAGAGAAGAGGAATACTGATAGAAATTAGATTATGAATAACACCAGAGAAGTTGTTTTTATTTCAGCAGATTTAAATCATTCATTTATGAACAGTCAATTAACAAATGTGAAGTACCTTAGTTGAACATGTTTTAAATTTTACATCCAGTTTTTCGTAAATAAACATGTAGAAGTGACATTATTCTGGTCATAGTTCAGCAAATCAAAACCCCACAAAGTCATAAACCACTAGTGGTATACCAAAGTATTTATCCGGCCGATAAAGTTTGCAATTTTATTTTAAATAAAGATTTTGAATTTATATTTTATTTCTTCAGGTTTGGCTGCAACTTGAGCAGCACCAACATTGGGAGAATGGGGTCCTTTTAGGAGATTCTGGCTATCCCTGCCGACCTTTCCTCCTAAACCCGTACCTTAACCCCCGAATGCTCAACAACAGAGTTACAACGTGGCTCACACAAGCACAAGGAGCACTATTCAAAGGACGTTTGGGAGATGGAAAAGACGCTTCCATGTCCTTCACTCAGAGGTGAGCTAATCTTCTATGATTACTTTTTTTCTGGTTATGAGCAGTTTTATATTGATAAACCTATGGCACTAATTATAAGGACATTATCTTGATTAAGTGAAAATGATTACCATAAACTTGTGAAAATTCCACATGATGTGCAGTAGTGTTGGGTATTGTCTCAATGGGCATGAATTGCTCAATTTCACACCAGCATCCATCAAAGTGGACCAAGGGCAAATATATTAAAATGGGCTACATTAATTAAGGAACCAGACGAAATCACCATCTTTACATTGTGATGTAATATTAAACAGATTTTTTGTATACACTTGATCCCTGTGACCGTGAAAATTGGTGAAGATCATATACAGTATAACAAACTTGGTAGCCTTTCACCTCAGTACATATTTGCTCGATATCATCACTGCTTATTCAGAATTACCTAAAGAATGATTTCCTTTTCATACAGATTCGCATGAAACCTGAGAGGGTTGCAAAAGTAGTCGTTGCCTGTGCGGTCCTCCACAACATTGCAATTGCAGGAGCATGTAATTGAAGAGGATAACAACCCTATACAAGCTGTTGATGATGTTTATGAAGGACCCCAGGAAGGCCGTACTGTAAGGGACCACATATCTAGGATTTTTTTTTAAATTCTAGTTATGCGTGTGGAGTGCCCCTACTCCATGTAGTTGAAATTAAGTTGGGGGGGGGCGCGTGGATTGCCCCTACTCCATGTAGTTGAAATTAAGTTAGGGGCGCATATGGAGTTAAAATTTAGTTGGGGGGGGGGGGGGGGGGGGGGGGGGGCCCNTCATATGTTATATTGTTTTTGTTTTATATTCACAGTATTACATTTTAGTTTTTGAAAGCAGACCACTTTTCAAACAAAACTGTTGGAGAACAGCATAACTTTCCTATAGGTATTAGATAGTGTTATAAGATAGCAAGCAGGGTTAGACACTGTGTTTGCTTGGTAGTCCACAGGACTAGTTAAAATGATTATTTACTAGTCCTGTGTCAATGTAACTAGTCCAATATTTCCTTAAGGAAACATCGCGATCTACAGCATAAAACATCAAAAGTAATCAACTGTAGGGGACTTGAAATAACTGTCTTAAAAAAATAGTAAAGGTTTTTGTTAAACTTTGACAATTATAACGCAATATATCTTATTTTAAGCAGTTTTTAAAATCTTTAAAAGGAATATTCTTACTTTATAACAATATTTTTCACAAGTCTAAATGACGAGTTAGGTAAGGTGATTCACTAGTCCTTGCTGAAATCTACTTGTCCAGGATTAGCGGACTAGTGTTAGTGTCGACCCCTGTTGACAAGTATCAATTAATTCATTTGCAACCTTGCTCACCCCCAACATGTTTCAAGGTTTTCTGTATTTCCGAAGAATTCCTTAATGTGTCCCTCAATTTATTGCCATATCCCTTTATAATGCCAACATTTCTTTGATCAAAATGGGGCAATATAGGGAGGTTTTGCTGTACCTCATCATGTTGTACAATTCTAAAGAAAAGATATGACCAGACATTGTAAAATAGTCAACAGCCTATTGATGGTGGTGATCCAACTTTAACCTAAAACTTGCCCAAAAACTTTAACCAAGTCCAATTAACCAGTTTTGGCCCCTAAAATGTAAAAAAATTGCCCCTGAAATATAAAAACATGGTTTGCTTTCACTCCATAAGAAAACTTCAACCTTATAATAAACTTTTTTTTTACTGTCTGGAGAAAAATTGCCCAAAAACTTTAAACTGATTGAAAGAATTTAAGGATGGACAACCATACCATAAACAAAAAGAGATTTGAACTGCCCATACTGTCATGATGGTGGGCTAATACGTATAAACATAATTTACATACATTCAAATGATCTTTTACAATACAATTTTCAACAAATTTATATACATGAATTAAGTCAATTAAATAGTTGTAAATATTAGCCTCAATAAGGTCTCCATTGGTAGTACAACAAACCTTTGCTGATCTCTTAGTTTTCTGAATTTTCTGAAATCTGGTTATTAGAAGATGAAATAGTATAGAAGATATGCCCCTGACAAACTACAGGTGAAAACGTATAGAAGATTATTTAGAGGTTATCATATGAACATTTTCATATCCTACTGTATACCAGCCAGACTCCAATATCAGCCCAATGGACAAGTAGTTCGTGGGCTGATATGGGTCGAGTAGGATATGAAAATGGTCATATGGTGAAAATTTGGATAATGTCAGAAATGGATATGTAGTAAATAGATATACCATAAAGATATGTAAAATTTTGAATTATTTGAAATTTTATTTGAAAACTAATGATAGGAGACAAAATTGAGGCATATATCTATGCCTACTTTGAAAGGGAAATGGCTAAAAGAAAATGTTGTCATAGATATCCCTCGCTCAACAGATAAATCATGATATTATACATACTTTTAATATTACAGGAGGCCCAATGGGCCTGAATCGCTCACCTGGTATTATTCTCACACTTGTAATCTTAAAAGTGAACTAATATACAGCTACAGTTACAAAACATCTGTGTTCGATACATTATAATTTGTTTAATGATTTAAACATATGACGCCTGTGACCTTGAAAGTCGAACAAGGACATCAAGTTGAACAGAATGTATAGCCTTCCGACCCAGCATGCTTCTCGCCAAATATAATTACCCTGGACCTTTTGAATATTTAGAACAAGTCATTTAAAGAGTAAAACATATTTGTCCCCTGTGACCTTGAAAATGGGCGAAGGTCATTTGTTTGAACAAACTTGGTAGCCCTTTATCTTACCATGCTATTGGCCAAATATCATTATCCTAGGCCTCTGTGGCATGCAAAAGAAGTTGTTTAAATTTTATTTTTTACAAATTTAACCCTATGACCTAGAATATGGGTCAAGGTCATTTCTTTTCACATACTTTGTCAGGCTTCATCCTAGGAACCTATCAGCCAAATATCAGATCTACAAGACATCAATATTACATTGAAAATTTCAGTAAGTCTCCATAGACCTTTTGCAATATTTCACTATAAGACATCAATTATTTACATATAGACCTAGTAATGTTGATAATTTTAACTAATGCTGAGCGAGGGATAACTACAATGATCAGACAAGATTGACAGCATTCTGTCTGTTTTGTATCATTAGCATGTAAGCAATATTCAGCTAATGAGACAAAGCAGCTAGAAGGTTGACAGTGTCTTGCTGACCTTCAAAATTTTCAAGAAATTTCTTAAAAAGGGTGATCTGTAGATCGGTATTTACCATCTCCCTCTCAAAGTAGGCATGCTGAATTTTATATACATCTTCAGCAGTTTTCTTCCTCTTCTGCCTGTCTGTGGCCTGCACCTCTTTTGTTCGGCATCTGTGATAAATGGAATGTAAAACTGAATTTAACACACACTTATGCTATTGCCAAATTCTTAGGTAAAATTACTTACATAAAATAGAAAAACACAATTTAAGATACACACCATTTAAAGTTTAATCCTCAAAGGTTGAAAGTGATCAAAAAGATGCAGTTATAATTTAATAATAATATTTAAATGTACATGTAACCTATAGACTATAAAGGTAAATACCTACATGTAAATATATGCAAATGCATGATAATGATTTAATGTTTTTGTCCGTGGCATTCTAACACTTCACATATCACTTTACCAATCAAGGTAGAGTTTTCAATTTTCATATATAAGGTCAGAATACTGTTTGACAAATATATATACTGCATGCCCCATTTCATATCAAAGTTATATACATTAATCAAAATTGCAAATAAGCAACAAGTCAGTCAAGACAATGTTTAAGAAAAATGATCCATGTAATATACTAATCAAAGTTTGTACACAAAATATTGCACTTATGAGTTATATACAATTATGTATGTGTATAAATGTTCTCTGAAGTTGAATATTCATTTTTACGACGGATGCATTATATTCTAGCAGCTATATTTATTTACCTCTTTTGTCCGTGTGATGATGCATCTGGTGTTTCTGCAACGTCCTCTGCATCATCAGCAAACAACTGACCAGGAGGCTGTTCTGTTATCCTCCTGATGGCTTCATCCCAGGACCTCTATTCTGGTTGCACTGCTGTTATCAACTGTTCAGGCACAAAGAAAGATAACTCTTACAAAATGTACAAGGGAGTGTAAATATGAAACAGTCTCTACAAAATAACATTATATTTATTACTCATATGATAATCTTACCTTATCATACATCAACATAAACACATCGTTTAAATTTATTTATGTCTGTGTAACAGGAAAAAGCCAGCAGACGTTACGTATGAAAATAATAAACTGTTTTCGTTGTTGATAGTATGATTTGCATGGCCATAAGGGTCACTTCAAAATGTTTGCTCTACCTCGTGGATGGTATGCAGAATGTTCTTTAAATAGACAAGTCATTTTACAGGAATGACACACTCTCACATGTTGTTACAGGTATGTCATATTGGCAAATACAGTGGATAGGAATTTAACCTCCGAACATTTTGTCTTGAATGCATATTACTTTGAAATGATTACCATGCTATATTCAGATTTTGATGGCCGATACCACGTGACTATTGTTGTCACAGACGCTTCAATATGGCAGCAGACAACAGTTTAGTTCTGAATAGAATATAGAACACTATTCGTTTTGTATATATCAGAAGATCGTTGCTGGTGGTGAGTGAAAAAACACACCAAAATCTGTTATTAACAGCTAGAAGTTTCTGTTTTCATTAAAATAATTACTTTATTAGACATAAATTGTAAAATTTGCACTAATCCATCTGTTACGGATGTTTTTATCACTCCCTCCGTTACGGATGTGTAATTCTGCTAGGTGTAGGATCTACTGTCGGGGAAATTTAACGAAATTATGAGGAAAATGTCCACAGTTAACATTGTTATAGATCGAGGAAATGATAAGAAATAAATATGATGTATGTTACATAGAAAACAACGGAGATGATTTGGTATTTGGCATGCTAATTAATTGTGTACAGTAGATGAAAGAACTTTTCCTATTTACTAAAATGATTGCAAAGTTTCTCAGAGATTTTGAACATACTAAACACAAAATATATGTGTTTAATCATTACATTATGTGACATTTCCAGACAATTTTGAACATTATAAACATACCATCAAGCTGATTAGCAGCACATCGATGATAGTGACGTCACGTTCGACGACCGTGACGTCATCTAAAGCTACCCCATTGTGAACACATAGTTGAATTCGTTTCTGACGGACCTAAGAACTACGCGTACCGCACAAACAACAACAACACTACGTGTAAGGTCAGGTGATTTTCGCTGAACGTACAAAACGACAGGACTGTCAACTTATCGGTGATTAAAGACATTGTATTGTCGGACCGCGGTAGAGTCACAAAAACAGTAGACGACAAAACAATGAGGGATCAGAGGACATTTGCGCTGTACAACGAAACGCGTACCAAATTGTATAGACTCGTATATATACTAAAAGGGTCATTTAAACACGTATCCGTACGGTTATTAAAATGTAAAGAGCTGTTTTCACTCCTTGTGTCGTTACAGGTGCTACATCTGAATCGAAATCGGCGACACTCTTTACTTTGCGAATCGATTAAGGACCCCTGTACTATCTTTGTAAACCACTTTTACTCCAGAGGGACCAAAAGTAACTCTTATACTTTTCACTTTCGGTTATGACGTTACATTAACGGATAGTTGACACTACACCAGGCTTTAAAGGACGGATCAGTCTACGAATAGCAACGATTATCAGGTATTTTCTTTACTTTAAAACGTATTTCATGACAATTCTAACTATTTCTTGAATTGTAACTGTTTTAAAGCTATAGAATAGCTAAAAATTGTTAAGTATCTTCAGCTACAAGTTTATCGGCAATAGACAGGGTTGTCTAACAGCTTGCAAGGAGCTATCTTCGGCTATGACCAGTGCATTTACAGTATGGAATCCTTGAAACAACCCTTTACAAGACATGATAGATGTCTTACAAAATAGATGAATACTTATACATGCAATATGCTTATAGAAATATCTAAACTTTCGTTTTCGTGGGGGAAAAATAGCTATTTTCGTTTATGTTTCCCAGGGATAATCCTGGAGGAGGCCATTGACCCCTCAAAACTGAAATCGACCCCTCCGTCTTCCAATGCTCTTTTGATTTTACATAGAAGCCTGAGTTAAGAGCTGATATCGATAGATGGAAGTGACGTCACGTTCGACGACCATGGCGTCATCTAAAGCTTACCGTACGATTCTGACAATATGCAGTCTATCCGACTTTCTCCGCCAACACCAATTAACACAACGGCAAGCACACACGTACAGGAAGGAACGACAAAACATATAAAACGGCAAGGAGTGCATTAGGAAACAACATCGTCAAAGAATGCATAGACAACGACGTGCAAGCGGCCAGTACTATTACAAACTACCCTGTAAGTATAAGTATATTGTAAAAATAGTGCATTTGCTTTTCTGGGTTATTTCTTTATTTATGTATTGATATATTTTTTTCTATTTCTTTCAGTTCAAACAGTACGACAACACTACTTATTGGCCATGTTGAGCGAGGAAAACCTACACTATTTTTTATTTGAAAAAAGACATTCGTGTTTTTTTAACACCTTAGCTTATTTAATCAGCACATTGTAAATACAAGAATTATATAATAAAAAACGCATGTTGTAACTATTTATTGTTTGAAAATATGTTTTATGCATAATATTATCAAGGAAAAAGAAAATATATGATTAAAAAGAGGAGAAATAGAGCAGAAAAGAAAAGAGAGAAAAAACAGGTTTGTCAAGCATTGCAGAGAGAGAGACAGTCCATTGATGCAATGCATGAAATCAGAAGGTAAAAAAGTCGGAAACAAGGGGAGTTAATTCCGTCAAAATGACGTCACACTCAATATACACACCTATTGGAAACAGCGGGAGATAATTCAGTCGTTAACCCTAAAATTGATTTAGTCACAACGCAAAAAA